CTAACCAAAAAGCTTCTTCTCAAATTCCTGTAGAGCTAAGGTTATTTAAGCAATATGTAAATATTTCTTCTTTAAAGGGACTGTAATTTTGATTTCAAGTACACCTAAGGATGGATCGTTTCCACTTTTTTTAAAAACGATCGTTTCGTTTCGTTAAATTTTTTTTTCGTTTTTTAAAAGTTTAAAACGAGTGGTTCATTTTCAAAAACTATTGTTTTTTTCAAAAAACAAAACGATTGTTTTTAGAAGAAAAAAAAACGAAAAACTATCGTTTTTTTGGTCGTTTTTAAAACGATTAATAACCCTAAGTTTAAAAACTGATTATTTTCAATTGGGATTTCTCTAAAAAAGAGACTTGCTCATTTATACTGCAAGAAAACATACAGGAATTATCAGAATTACACACTTTTAAACCTTGAAAACAGACAAAACGACATTGCCTTTCACCTTGATCTGATAATAGTTTCATAGGTACCGTTGTGAATTGAGCATTGTCATCTTTGTATGCAGGGTCTCCTCACGCTCATATTTTCCAGATCGCAAATTCATCATTGCAATCTCATTCTGTCACCATTCGTCAAGAATTATTGTTTGAGCAACAAATGAAAATATGAAAACTTGGTAATGAGCTGGTAAGTTAGAAGATCCTTAGATAATAGATAGATAATAGATAGATAATAGATAGATAATAGATAAATAATAGATAGATAATAGATAGATAATAGATAAACTTTTAAGAAAGCTGATTCAGATTCAGTTTAATCATCTTATTTACTATGCTTGTTATCATTCTGAGTTTTATCCAAGCAAAGTTAAATTAATATCAGTGTTGCAGTCTGAAATTTTCGTTTTTAAATGTCATAATTTCTTTACACTAGGTCACCCACAAAGTAAATGGTTACGCTTTATGCCGTGCCGCTACTTTAAATCGATATTCTATTGCTTCAACTAAAATTCTAACTATAAAACTGAAGTGTTCAACGTTATACATAGATCTACTTAAAAAGTTTGAGAAAGAGCAGTTTAGTAAAATTGTATACAAATTTTATTCAACTGCATTTTTAAGTTTTTATTTCACGAACTAAAAAATCGTTTTTTGTAGTTAGGTTTTTGGTCCTAAAAATGGTGAGAAATTCATTTACTACTTCTATTAGATTTTAGCTTCAAACAAATATGTTTCGAGACTGGGTATTGACTAAAGTAATTAAAAAACAGTTTAAAATGATTAACTTCATTTTAATTATGTAATTTCATGAAATGTTTCCTGGGAAAATGATATGATCAAATATGAAAATTCTAATTAATGAAAGTAAAAAATTCCCCTTATTTATGAATACTAAAATAAGTAAAATTCTTACGACAAAATAGGTTTTTTTCATCGCAGTTTAATCTGATTAAATGATTTAATTACAATGGACGCAGTCAATATTTCCGTGATTTCGCAATCTCTGCCATCTAATCTTCATGAGCATGCAAACTATTTTTGCACATTTATTTCGCAAGCTTTAATTCAAATTATTAAACATAAACATTATTATGATTTCCTGTTCGTGAAAATATACTTTTAATTAGATTTGATGAAAAGTACAAAAAATTAGTGAAATTTATGAAATTGTTTTGAAAAAGAAAATGTGTACATTTTTTGGAAATTATTTAGTTTTTTTGTCTTTTTTAAAAACAAATTAGTTTTAACACTTGTGATTATAAAAAACGTGACATTTTTGTTTTTAGAATTGCCAGTAAAAATACGAACAGTAAAAACGGTTTAACAGTAGAAAAAAAAATAGAAGAAAAAATTAATTTCAATTTTTCTTTATAACATGACTTTAAAGGGACTGTTCACGTAATTTCAAGTGAACGTCAATCTAAAGCTGTAAATATCTAATTCACAAGGTTACCCTTTTGTACACCACTTTATCAGATATATAAAGAAGGAAGAAGAGATATATTTACTTTTCTGTCTTGAAATAAAATAATTTCTTTCATTTTCCCCTTTTTTCTTCTGCAAAAATTTAGAGAACCGTAATAATTTCTCAATTTTCGGAAAGTAAAACAAAGATATTTTCTTTATATTTGCTGTCCGAACTATTGTGAATTGATTATGTAACTCTTTAAAGGGAGAGTCACTTGAATTTACTTTAATACTTTCAGGATTTGAAATTGTTCTGTTTTAGAATAATTCTAATAAATCCTAATTAAATCAATTATTTCACACTTCTAGTGATGTTAAAGATGAAATATTTTTGTAAATATGCCATTAAACCAGTTTAGATTTCAACGCCTTTTTAAAAGTTTTGTTTTTATCGTATATAGTCCTGAACAAAGCCTACCATAATGATGTGCATAACTGGCTTGTACAAGACTGGCGTGATGAGCTCCATATTGATGATGAGTTGGGTATCCTGCAGGATATCCCTTGATATCCCCGGACCCGTCCAGGTTTGCGTACTGTAACCCATTGTCGGAGGAGATTATCCCGGACTGACTGGGTGGAGAGTGGGAAGGGTTGGGTTCGTATTTAGTCTCAGGTTGAGAGGATCTAGTATCAGAATGAATAGTTGGATATGGTGAAGGGGATCCTGGATCACCTCCTGATCCTCCTGATCCTCCGCCGGATCCATAAAAGGCGGAGAGTTGCTCTGATGTTGGATATGATCCATACCCGCCTTCCTGACCTCCGCATAGGCCAAAAACCGCCGCATTTGTATTCATCCTAGATACCGCCAGATTGGCGGGTTTATGCTTTCAACCCCAACCGAGATTAAGCTAAGATCAAGCTCTGCTTAACTACAGCTGATAAGTATGATCCTTTCACGCCTAATCAATCCCATTTGGGCGACAAATTTGCGAATTAATGGTGCAAAAAATTCTAAGCACTTTTTCTGGTCAATGCTTGAACTCGTGCAATCACTCCTAATCAGGCAGCAGGTTGACAAGGCGAGCTGACCCTAAATCCTCGCCACTCAGTCACTAGTATTCACCAACACTCTGCTTACAGCAGTTACACACAAAACTGAAGAATATCTAACCCCGCCACCAAGTCCCCGAAAGAGTCTCCGCCAAGTTTGGTCACGTGATCCAAGATCTCGGCCAATACAGGATCAGCGGCCCCCCCCCGCACACAAGCTACCACTCTCTAGTAGCTATCCCCCCCTGAGAAGCTACCCCTTTGCTTATTAGCCAACTCCCTCCCCCCTCACCATGTGCTTGGTATTCAATATAATCTGGGTATGCAGATTCTAGATAAAAGATATCCATCCAATTATCAAGAAATCATTGTTTATCTAAGAACAACATTTTTCAAACACCCTTCTAACTAACTAAATTTCTATCTAGGCAGAAGGGAAAGGTTTAAGGTATTGAGTTTTTTGCCACAAACACTAATTTTATAATCCCTAAATCTTTGCAACCCGATGATGTAGATCTTTGATATTTTATACAAAGAATTGTGATAGATCAAACGGTCTGAGTTAGAAATATCCAAGGTTTAATCAAAAAGTTGCAAAGTGTTAGAAAATTTGAGTTTGTGGCAAAAACTCAATTCCTTTATGCAACCTAATAATGTATGATAATAATAAAAATAAAAATATTATTTAAATTTTTTCAATTTTCTTACTGATTTGTATTTTTTATTTTGTAAAATGTTGAATTCGAGAATATCTTTAACATGAATAAATTTATGAATTTACTCCCCCCTCTCTCTCAACTCAATGTAAGTGGTATATCTATAGACCAACCAGACTGATAAAATAAAATAAGAGGGGGGGGGGGATACAAAACCAAATATTAGAAAGGGATGGTAGTTGAGGGGTGGGGGTAATGGTTATTCAATGTATAGGATCGACGGGATGGGGATAAAAATTAAATGGAAATTTAATTCTGGATGAAAGGGATAAATATACATTACATTTAATAAATTAGAAGCAACAGTTAAATATCAATTTGACATTTGCAAGCAAATCAACTAGGAGTCAACTATAAAGTTCTTGTAAGTAATGTTTTTTTTTTATTTGGTATTTTCCGCTATTCTTTGTGGCCAAACAACTATTTTCTTTGGCCCGGTCGCCTTTACTTTTGAAATTGTATCTGTGTACACACTGTGTATATGTAAACAAACAAATTATCTTCATAATAAACACTCTCAACTCTGTAAAACGTGTTTGCTCAGTGCTCACTTTTTTTGCATATTCAAATTAAGTGGAGGCAAAAACACGGAGTTGCAAGTAACGCCATCTNTGTCAATGTCAAGGACTATTTGAAAGGGAGCAGACGTTTCAATATTTGAACAGTACTTTACACTGTAAGTGTACACTGCACACGTTTCATAATTTCATAAATGCATATTATATAACACCAGAGATGGAATTTAAAGAATTTGAACCGCGGTTTAAATCTGCCAAACCCCGGTTTAAATTGAGCGCCGGCTTAAATCTTGAAACATTTGATACAATTTTAAGTGGAACCAACCATATTTAAGCCGCGGCTTAAATTTAAACCGGCGCTCAAATTCTTTAAATTCGGCCACAGGTGGTACAATAAGATTGGTGGAAATATGGACCATTTAAGTGATTAAAGGTTGCTTTGGTGTATCAATGTACATTTTGCACGTTTTCTGATTTTAAAAATAAGTTTTCATGATATAGCAAGATCAAAAACACCTAAAGCTTGCATGTCGTCTTTGCTTATTCCACAGTTTTTTCCTCTCACTTTATTTAAATGACCATTTTAAATAAACGTGGCTTTCTGTAAACATTCTTCATAATTTTGTTTTCACAAATTAGTTCTAATTCAAATAGAAACTCTGTTCAGAACATTTGTCAAAAACTGAACTAAACTATATTTCTTGAAAGACAACCACGGCCGGTTGTAAAAACAAATTTTTATGTAAAATATAAAATGGATTTTGGCAAAAGTTATAAAAATGATATCGGAATGGAAAACTGATGAAAAATCATCAAATTTACTATGTAAATAAAGTATATAATGAAAAATATCCAAACCTGGTTTAGGAACATTTCTTTTCACTTGCATCCATTTATAAGTAGGTACTGCTTGCTGGGGTTTAGATGGGTAGTCCCCATAGGCATTGAGGTCGTGGGGCCCCCGCAGTTTGCTGAAGTGGTGGGGGTAGATCCCGTACTGGCCTGGGTAGCCTGACATACTGTCTAGGTAGGGGTTGAAGGAGGCCGGGGACTGGGAGCTGAGGGCGGTCTCATGGTGACCCTGCATCTCACCTAAACCGAGCTTTGTTGCAGGATCAGCTGATCCTAAACGTAGTTTAGAAAATCAAAATGGCGATTAAAATCAAAATGGCGATAAAAATCAAAAAGGCGGTCAATCTACAAAACAAATTACTTTTTTTTCTACATGGCGATCAGCAATGAAAATAGTGATGGAAATTTAATATATAATTGGAAAACTATTAAGAAGGATGAAACAAAAAGCATGATCAATTCTTTTTTTAATTTGGGTTTTATCTTTATTTAAGGTAAAATGAGGTCAAAGTATTTTTGTGTAAGCAGATAGAACCTGTGAAGATATTTAGTTTTAACAAATAAATGAGGGGGGGGGGGTCACTGCCCCCACATCAAAATATTAAAATGTGGAGAGAGGCATAGATTGAATGTTTATGTTTATGATCAAAGCTTGAGAATCTATTAGTAATGAGTGTCTATGCCTGGTCACATATAAAGAT